GGGTGCAGCCCAGGGTACAGTTGGGATTTATTGCTAAAGATTTATTCTTCCCCTGATTAAACTCTGAAGGCAGTGTCTCAGCAGGATATGGACAGTAACATCTGGTGAGAGGCTTTGAGAGATGAGAAACCCCACATGCTCCCGAACACGTGTGAGTCTCGCTCTGTTGTTAGCCCAGCTGTCAGCAGCGAAGCGGGCGCCTGTCACAACTCACCAGGTGGTTTATTGCCAACACAGGTGTGGGAAACCAGGAGTTGGTACACGTTCTCAGGCACGGAGCTTTGTTTTAAAGGACTCTGGAGGTGCAGGTCTCGGTTGTGGGATAGTTGGACTGAGGTGGGAGCATGGTCCTGAGCTGTCACCTCGACAGCTGGCAGTGTGGTGGAACAGCCTCTGAGGGACAGAGTTCAAGGGGAAGATGAGGATGCAGTACAGTGTTGATTCAGTCAATCTTCTCTTGAAGATGGGTATTGCTACCTTCATCTGCTCTGCTACTGAACAACACTTGCTTTGAGGTTGAACTTACAACCACAGTAGATCTGATACCTTGATCAGCTCCATATTATTAAAAAAACCCCAAACAAACTAGTTGAGCTGAAGAAGAAGGATGAATGTAAAGGAACTTGGTGAAAAGATGAAGGAAGATGGCAACAGAAAGTTTGAAACTGGAGGGAGTTACACGTGCAGGGAAGGGTGAGAGTACATGGGATGTATCAGGAGAGATTTCCAGGTGAGATGGAGGAAACTTTGGAGATCTTCCCCGTAGCTCAGGTGAGGTCTCTTTTGGAATACTGCTGTACTCTGGTGTTCAGGAGGGGTGGATCTGAGCTGGAATCTGCATGGGTTGATGCGAGATGTGTCAGGAGGGAGAGTTCATCTTATTCAAGAAGACTGAAGGAGCTCTGGTTGTTTTGCTTGGCAGAGAGGACCTGACTGACGTGTGAGTCAGTATGAAGAGCAGTGAAAGGAAGGAGGGGGAAAGCTGTACAGCTGAGAAAACTGTCATATACATTTCTGTTAAAATCTGAAGATAATGTAAGAAGCAACTCATTTTTACGTTAGCAGTACCAGTACCATGGTGTCATGGAGAAGAGCCTCCTCCTTGAGCTCCTTACATATATTTAGAAACCCCAGAGATTTCACAGTCTTATTTTTGCAGCTGGGGCAGATTCTGGGCTTTCTGGAGCGCCAGAGCCCACGGAAGCACTGGATCTGTGGTGTGTTCCTCTCCTTTAGTGCAGAAGGTGGGGTGTGCAAGAACTCTGTGTGCTTCAGGTTATGAAATACGTCCCCTTGCTACAATGGAGCTGCAGCTCTGTGGTGAGGAGGTCTCAGCTGCTGAGCTGAACGTGGCAGTAAGGAACAGAACTGAAAGCAGGAAGAGAGGAAAACGTTGGGTTTGACTGAAGCAGCAGCTGGGGATCTGTGCTCCGTGGCTGGTGGTGTGTTGGCTGAACAGTTGCCTTCCTGCCCTCACTCAGCAGTGGCTCAGTCAGTGTCCTATCCCTACCTTTTGGGGCAGTACATAACTTTTTTTTCCTCAAAATAGAAAACTTCTGGTTCTTGGTCTCTTGTGTTTCAGAAGCTTCTGCATGATGAAGGCTTTTTTGCTCTTCATCCACTCAGATCCAGGTGAAAGTTTTCCCACTAGATCTGGGTATTGGAAAGAGCAAACTGACTGGTGCAGCATGTTTTGGTAGATAAAGAGCTAGGTAGGTTCCCAGCCTTATTGTCAACTTAGGCAAGTGGGAACCTGTGTTTTTCTTCCATGTTCCTGCTTCCCTGTGGCTGAATTTACATATGTCTCTGGATATAGTATGGATATTTATTTCCTCTGATGGTGGAGATCAGTTTCTCTGGTATACCTATAGAAAACTGGCACGAGGGAACTCCTGGGAATGGCATGCAGTGTTGAGTCAAAAGACCAGAAGGTTGGACTCCCCTGGTCAAATAGATGTCAGGCTTTGTTGTTCTGCCAGTTGTGTTACCTGTTAAGCAAAGCTTAACTCCTAAACTAGTAGTTTAAGCAGTTAAAACAGTGTGTGCTGGATCTTAAGAATGCTGGACTCCTTTTCTAAGAGGTCCCCCACAATGCTGGTGTTGGGGGTTGAAGAATACATGAGCACGTAGATTAGGAAAATGGCTAAAAATACATCTTTGTGGATTTCCCTGTTTTAACATAATTTTTAAAAAATGTGTTTCTACTTGTCAGTAGGATGGGTAACTTTCTGGAAAGTCTTTTTAACAGGACCTTAAAGAGCTCTGTTCTGTATTTGGTTAATATCACTTGGTCTAAAATGTGAACTTGCTTTTCTCTTTCCTCCACCTTCATCTGAAGCAACAATTAGGCAAAATAGCTTTTTTTTTTTTTTTATATATAAAAGGTAATGGGAAACTCTTCAGAATTCCAGAAAGCAGTGAAGTTGGTGATTGACACAGTCTCATTTGATAAAGACTCAACAGTCCAAGTTTTTGAGGCCACAATCAGGTACGTCGCTCTGTTTCTGCCTTTACAACAGTGCCGAGGTTAAAGGCTTGGTGTGCATGTGTAGGGGAACCAAAGTAAAACCATTGATAAGGGTGTCTTTGGTAGGCTTTATTGCATAATTGTTCCTTGAGTAAGTTGGTTTTTAACCTTTTATGAAAATATTCCATCTTTTCATAATTAAAATGATTTTAATGAGTCCCATGTGGCTCGGAGCAGTGATACAATGACAGTCTCCAAAGTCTTTGGCTCGCAGACTGCTGCTTTTTTGTTGTTGCTTGTACAGTGGACACTCAGATCTGTGTACAGCAAACAACTCTGCTGACAGATTTTCCCTGTTTTGGTTTTCTTCTGTGGACCTTCTGCTTGCTTTCACTTTTGTTTTAGATGAAAGCCCAGCCTGTCTTGTCTTGGAGATGAGTTTAAGTTACTGTCTGATTTTAAAAGGCTTCATTTTCTGAATGTCTTAAACAGTGTTTACTCAGTTGTTGCTTAACTTGACTCAACTTTCTTTTTTCCAAATATTAAGTTTATATAACAACTTTACTGTCATTTGCAGCAGCAAAAATGGTGGGACAAGGAGATCTTCACTCATAAATAACCTTGGTATGTTGTAAGGAGCTGCTGGGTTAGGTAAATTTTGCAGAACTGGACTTTGGGATTTCTGTGAGTGACAAGCAACGTGACTTCTAGATGTGTTCACTACTGGTGGGGAAAAAAGCAGATCTCTTTCTGTAGTGCCTCTAAGGTGCACAAAACAGTACATATGTTAAACATGATACTGGTGAGGGTTTAGCTGAAGAACTAGATTCAGATTTAATTTAAAAACTGAAGATCTTTTCCTTTCCCCACAGGGTTTTGGGAAGCCTGCTTTCTGCCCACATAATAATTACAGATTCCAAACAGCCTTTTGGTGATATGACCATTAAGGATTATGACAATGAACTGTTGCATATGGCTCGTGACCTGGCAGTGAGATTACTTCCAGCCTTTGAGAACACCAAAACTGGAATTCCATATCCTCGGGTAAGTGAGCACACCAACAGGGTGCGGAAATAATCTAAAAGTGGTAATTCTCCTGTCCTACAACTCGAATCCTGTGCTCTGTGTGTGCCTTTATACCTGCACTTGGGGTATTGAACCTGCTCTAAGTCACATTAAAATGACTTGTGGGGCTGAACTGTGCTAAGGTTTGGTGACATGATGATATATAAGTTGCCTCTTACATCTAGTAAATGTTTTCTTTAGGCAGTTTTTCTCTCTGTGTGTACTGTTCCGTATGGGTCAGTAGTCATTTGTTTTCGTGCTGTTTGGCTGGAACATGCCCTGCCCCACACTTTCTTCCTATATATCACACAGCAGCAAACAATCCTGACCTTAAGGAGGTTAACAAGAAATATTGTAAGGCAAATAGCATAGAAAAGTGATGTTATTGGTGACTTGGTACTAAGATAATTGTCATAAAATGAAACTCATCTAAAATATTTGTCAACCTGGGCTTGGAATTTGTAATTTTCTTAAACAGTGCTCAGGGAGTGCTCAGCTCCTGTGGTGTTCTTGAGCAGTGCATCCTCTTGTTTTACCCAGATGCCGTTTGCAAGGAGAAGGATGTCAGTTCTAGTGGAACAACTTTAAACTGTAAAACTAATTATAGCACTTGCCTGACTACTTTTAGTTTCTGGGGACAGCAGCACTGCTTTTCTTCCAGACCTCTCAGGCTGTAGAAACATGAACTTTCACTTCTCTTCAGAGTCTGGTAAAGCAGTTGTGGGTGGTGTAACTTCTCTTCAGCATTTTGTTCCATGGGGAAGTTGAGGAGCATTCACTGAGGAAACTCTGGGTTTCAAGAGCACTAAGTGAAGGGAAGGACTACTTGCATCACCCTTGGAAGAACCTGAATGTTCAGTAGAAATGATGAAAAAGTGGATTGAAATTTGAAGAACTGTCAAGTATAAGAGTAGCAAAATTAGGATTGCCCACCTTGGGAATGGTGCTATAAAGTTGGAAGAAAAAGGAAAGGCTTTTTGACCAAGCTGTGATATGCTGGCTTTCCAGCTGTATACACATGGCACACTGCATACTGCAAAAAACTAATAAATAGGCTTTATAGTAAATAAAAGACTGCAGATTAGAGCCCAGCTGTGTGAGGTGCAGCCTGCTTTCTTGCTGTTAGCACTCTCTCTGTCTCCTTCACAGGTCAATCTGAAGAAGGGAGTACCTCCAGACAGCAATAATGAAACTTGTACCGCAGGAGCTGGTTCCTTGCTGGTGGAGTTTGGCATCCTTAGCAGGCTGCTTGGCGATTCCACGTTTGAATGGGTGGCCAGGAGAGCTGTCAAAGCACTCTGGAGTCTCAGGAGCAATAACACCGGGCTGCTAGGTAATCCCTTCTGAGGTGAAGCTACCTTGACAGGCTCCTTTACCCTACCTCATGTCTCCTGTAGCACAATGCCATCATGCTACAGGTTTCTTTCATGTGTCGTAACCTTTGTGGCTCTGCTTCCTCTGTAGCTGTTAAGTCATGCTCTCCTTGTGTCCTTGCACTTTCTGTTGACCACATGGCAGTTTGTAATTTCATAAGAAAAATGGAGTGTCTGAATGACTTCTTAGGGCACAGGTTTCCAAAGACAAATTTTTCATGAAACTAGGAAATGAAACTGAAGTTCTTGCGTTTGCATCCCCAGTAATATAATTTAGATTGGCAGATGACTAAATGTACTTAAAACAGCTGCGTGTGTGTTGGTTGGATGAATGCACTGTAATGCTTTATTTTGACAGTGATCTTTGATCATTCCTCCTTTTGAAGATGTAACATTTCTAAGTTCTAGTTCTTGATTATTTTTCTCTGGTGTACTTGGCAACTGTAGACTAAACTTTTTGTCTGTTCTGAAAGGAAATGTTGTGAATATTCAAACTGGTCATTGGGTTGGCAAGCAGAGTGGCCTGGGAGCAGGGCTGGATTCATTCTATGAGTACCTCCTGAAGTCTTACATCCTCTTTGGAGAAAAGGAAGACCTGGAGATGTTCAATGATGCTTATCGTAACATTCAGAACCACTTACGAAGAGGGTATGTTATTTGTATGAGTATTAATTCCTTAAGCAATGAGGGCTCCACCAAGACAGGAGAGACTGTGCAGTGTTTTGTGTCACGCTCTAGAAAATCTGTGTTCTCTTTTTTTTTTTGTTCAAAAAACAAAATCTTATTTCTGTGGTAGTCACTGTGGAAATAAATTTTAACGTTCCCTTTATTCTTTAGTCAACTAATCTGTACAGTATTTTTGGTGCAAAGAAGCTAAACTGGTTACTGTCCAAGTTAATGTGAGGCTGAGAGAGGGCTGTAGAACTGCAAGGGATGTGTGTTACCTTGGCTGGTTTCTCAAGGCCTAGCATGACTTTTTGGTAGAGGTTCTGCTGACGTAACTTTAGGACGTGATGTACGTTCCTTTATGAATTAATTTTTCTGAGAGTGTGACTGACATTTTGGTTCTTTTCAAAATGGCTTTGAGCCTAGCACAACAAATCTGTCACTCATTCTCTTTGCTGGTGGTGGTGCTGTGAAATGAAACGTGCATTGTGTTCTTCTAAAATAGCGAACACTTACACGTGCTTGTCGTTACCTGGCAGTCGAGAAGCTTGCAACGAAGGTGAAGGTGACCCTCCTCTGTATGTTAACGTGAACATGTTCACTGGACAGCTGATGAACACGTGGATTGACTCTTTGCAGGCCTTTTTTCCTGGACTACAGGTAAACTTCAATTCCGTTAAAGTCCGGATGACACAGTAGAGGGGTGTCAGCAAGGCTCCTTCTGGGACTAGCTCTAAGCATCTCTTCTGAGACAAGCTTCAACCTGGGGGTTTACATCTGGCTGCTCTGATAAGAGTATTGGGGTGGTTCAGCTTCTACATCAGCTGAAAGGCTCAGCCTGCTGTCTACTAAATTTGAGATACTTCATAATTTTTCTCATTGAACCTCAGCATTTGTTTACCAAGCTCCACTGAAGCTTTTAGTCTGAAGGAATTAATACACTAGCTTTGTTTTTTGGGTTGGTTTGTTTGTCTCCCCTTATGAGGGGTGTGCTTTATTATATGGCATGTTCTTACACAGAGCAGAAGGCAATTTGTTGGCTTGCAGTATTAAGTGTTGGGTGTTTATGGCTGTTGTTATGCCTTAGGTGTTGATAGGAGATGTGGAAGATGCTATTTGTCTCCATGCTTTTTATTATGCCATATGGAAACGATACGGAGCTCTCCCAGAAAGATACAACTGGCAATTGCAAGCACCAGATGTTCCCTTCTATCCACTGAGGCCAGAGTTAGTGGAGTCCACATATCTTCTTTATCAGGTACTTGGCTTTTGTCTGCTTACAGCTCATGTTTTGGCCAAAATAATTTAGTTCAGAAAGTCACTTTTTCCACCCCTAGCCCCCGGGCACTAGGTCACTAAAACTTGGTGCCTCTCTACCTGCTTTCTCTTTTATAGAGGTCTTTGTTTAGACAGTAGGTTGTTGTGCAGTGTAGCTGCTATGTTTGCTTTGAAAATAGCCTTTTTTTTGGTAAGATAGGCAAAAATGAGACTAAAAAACCTTTGAAAAAAATAGCTGGTGGATTTTTACAACATACAGACTTGTGACTTCTTAATAGAAATTGTTGAAGTAAGTGTAGTAGTTTTCCTTGCTATATTGTCCAGGCACAGTCTCCAGCTGGCAGAAGACACAGTAAACTAAAATAACTTCCTGGCTGCAAAAAAGCTATCAAACAGCTTGAATTTACTGCAAGTTTTATTAGAATTTGCACTGAGGCAAATGTGAGAAGCTTGCAGAGAGTAATCTGAGTCATGTTCCTATAAAGACAGGTTTACTGTAACACTCAAGAATCTGATACTACTAGGTCTTATTTGTAAGTGGCCTTTGTAAGTGTTATTTTTACAAGATATTGAACTCGCTGACTTTAACTCTCATCTATCTCCTTATTCAGGCCACGAAGAACCCGTTTTACCTTCATGTTGGAATGGATATTCTGCAGAGCTTGGAAAAATATACAAAAGCAAAGTCAGTATTCAATGTTTTGTTTTCTCTCACTGCTACATACGTATGTTTTATTATATAAATATTACATAGTATCCAGTCGGCCAAATGTAGGTAAACCAGAAAACCCAACCCTCCACAAAAGCCACAAGTGATTATTTATTTACCAAACAATTATTTCTTTGTCACCTGAAAATGAAATTATAGTCCAGTGACAACTTTATACCTGCAGAATTTTATAACTACCTGTTAAAATGTGTTGTCGATGATCAGTTGCTAAAAACTGGAGAATGACTTGTAGGTTTTTTTTTTTCTGTGGCTCCTGCAAAAATAATTTGAACCTCATGGACCCATGGTATTTAGTGCTTTTGTAGACAAGTCAGAACTAACCAGAGGACAGTCTAAACCAACGCCTTTCTGCAGTTCAGTGGGATTCAGGTGCTGTGTAGGGAGTTGACTGAAAAAATTACAAGTGCACTGTGTGACAGCTTGAAGCTTCATAATTTGTAAGCATTGGTGGGAGGGAAGAGGAGGCAGCTTGGGAAGAAACCTTTGCATGAGTCCAGGCTTCCAGACCTGGGTTTCTCATGTGCTTAGTGGGGTGAAATTACCTGTTTTGTGCAGTGTGCCTTGAGAGTGTCCTGCTGCTTTGAAAGATCTGAGCAAATCTGCATGATGGAATAGGTGAACTATGGTGTCAGTGATAGCAGTCTCACCACAACACCATAAACCAATAATCAGTGCTTCCTTGTACGAGAGACTTGGATCATTTTAACTTCACCCCCAGTGACAATTGGAATGGTCTGAAGTGAAGGAAAATCTGGGGAGTGCTTCGAGATCAGAACGGGTGGGAACTAAACCCAAATGGATCTTAAATCTTACAGGTGTGGCTATGCCACGTTGCACCACGTCGTAGAGAAGACGAAGGAAGATCGAATGGAGAGCTTTTTTCTCAGTGAAACATGTAAATATTTGTACCTGGTAAGTATATGTTCTTCATGGCAAAGATGCACCAACGTGGCACAGCGAGGAGGCGGGACGTTGTTAATCAGAAACTGTGCTGCGCTCTGGGGAGGAGAGGGGTTTAGGGTTGGAGTGTGTCAGAGTGTGTGCTGCTCTTATTTCTGTGACCCTGCCCTAATCTTGGAGGTTTGGGCAGCCACTGCCTGGAGAGCTGGCAGCTCTTTTGAGGGGGAGCTGGAGAGGAGGGGAAGCCAGGCCGAAGGGGAAGCTCAGCTCTGAGCTCAATTACTGCTTGTACCCATTTTGCCTCCCTTGCTGCAGCCTCTGATTTCTCCCCATCAGGCTTTGGCAGTCACAGGAGAAAGCATTTGAGCCAACACTGCTTAAGCTACTGTTCTCAATCTCCTTTAGTGTAGAAAAACAAATAAATCTGTGGCTGAATGGAAGCAGTGGATGCCAGCCTAGAAATGCCTGCGCAGTGCAGCTTAGAAAAATAGGGCAGTTTAAGTTGTGCGAGAAGTTTTTCTTTTGCTCTCCCCTTTTAACTGTTAAAATAAATCCCTTGCATTAAAACTATTTATTTCCATTTGCTCTAACAGTATTTACCCATTTAGCACTAATAGGAATGCTTTTTGTGTGATCCTTCAAATGTGTGGGTGCGTGTGTTTTAACTTATTGTTGATGGGGCGTGAGGAATGTTGCACACATACTATAGCTCTCTCTCCCTTCTCTTGTTTAGCTGTTTGATGAAGAGAATCCACTGCATAAATCTGGAAATAAGTATATGTTTACTACTGAGGGACACGTTGTCTCTGTGGATGAACGTTTTCGGAACTCGCTGTGGCAAGACATCCTCCCTGGAGAAGAGGACAGCGCAGAAAAAAATAAACCCAGTGAATTAAAGGCAGTCAACTTCAGTTCTAATGTAAGGAATACACAGGGTGCTCCTGGATGTGTGGCTGGAGAAGGGATGTATGTTGAACTGGGTTAGTCAGTAGAAAAAAGAGCCATTTGGAAGTGTTACTTTAGGGCTCTGCAGCGTTTCCTTTATAAATGTCAAATATCTGAGGAGCTCCCTTGTGAAAAAAAACTTTCAGTAGTGGAATGAATGGATTAGGATAATGTGAAAGTGATTATGTTGGAGGTGAAACCTGTCCCCTTTTAAGGATTTTGCAGCAATTAGCTTGTTAATTTATTTACAATTATTTCTTCCTTCCCCTTTTTGTTGCCCTTAAAATCTTCCAGTGTTGCTGTGATGGGGAAAGAGAAAAGCAGAGGGTCATTTAAACAGCTTTTTTTTCCCTCAGAATGGTTTTGTGGCATGTAAAGGTGACCTTTCTTAGCTTAGCATCAGCTGAGTTCCAGAGCTATGGATCCAGTGCCTATCACCAACAAAAATAGATATGTTTTTAATACAGAACAATTTTTTAAAATCTCTGCTAGTAGGTTCTAGCATGGTTCCTTTCCTCCTCCCCTCAATCCTGCAGAAAAAGAGCATTATTTTAAAAAAAACCATTCACAGTTGTCATAGTGAAGGAAGTCTCAGTTGAATAACACGCTGCAGCAGTTTGGAAGCTTGCAGCCTGCACTAAGGAAACACTTGCTGTTCATTTATCTGGTTTGAGCTGGAAGTTTGCAAAGAGTGAGGGAGAGTCGGGACCAAAAGTGCTGTTGGGTACAATTTTCTGTACTGGGAGGAGATCCATGGTTACTGGGGCTACAACGTCTGCTAGGTTACAAAGGGTATGGGATTGCCTGTGCTCCTGTTTGAGTTCTTAAAAATATTCTCATTTTGTTAACAGTGTAACAGAGTTCCTGATGAGAGGAGATACTTGCTGCCCTTGAAGAGTAACTACATGAGACAGATTGATCGAATGGTGGGCTTGGTCTGAATGGTTCTTCAGAGTAACTTCTGTCACACCTCAGGAGGAGCACGGGATTTGGCTGTAGACATTCCTCTCCTCTTCAGCTACACACCTGCATATGCTGAGTCACTTGGGTATCCCCCACGCTTCTTAGTTTTTAATTATGGACAAGAAGGGAGATGGAGTTCTGTTACGAGTTCCATCTTCTGAACTGTGGTAACTCCACCTGAATAGAGATTTCTTGTTTTAAGACTTCCTATGAAAAATGTTGTTACAAATGAAGGCTGAATATAGTTAAAAAAAAGAAAAGAAAATTGGCATGTGCCACTTTAGCTACCTCTCTGTAGCTGTATTACAAATGTCCCTTTAGAAAAGGGTCTAGTATTTAATTTGAAATGATCTTGGGATTGGGGAAGGAATGGGAAAGTGCAATTTCTTACACCAAGTTGAATCGTTGAATTATTCTGACTAGCAATACATAACCTTAAGTACTACTCAGGTAGAAACCCACTGGCATTGGGTTTTGCTGAAACAAAAATGCTGTATCTGGAACAGTTAGCTTCTTACATCATCAGGAATTATCAAGTCACGATACCCCTTGTATGCACAGCTGTATAGAACTGCACGATCACAAGAGCCTGTGGTGCAGAAACCAGTAATGAAACAAGTCAGGTGCCTTTTTTTGTAAGGGAATGGGGGGGGAGGGAAGGAGAAATTGCAAAGCCACTCAGCTGTCCAAGCAGCTGACTTTATATAACTTAGCTGAGCAGAAGTTCCAAAAGTTTTGTTGTTTGCCATGTATCTAGTGCCTTTACAGGACAGATGCTGCTATGAACTGCTATAACAGTACATGAAGAACAAACTATTTCACATTCCTGACATGTTAGTGCCTTAAGTTTTCTTCACTAACAGGAAAAACTGAGCTTGCTTGGGAAGATGGATAAAGTATTTCTGGTTAGTTGGTTACAAAATATGGTGGATCCCAAAGTAACTTAAAAAGTAAGTTACAGAAGAGATGACTTCTCTCTCTCTCTCTTTTGTTTTTGTTTTTTAAAGATGCTGGAAGCATATCAACTGCTGTGCCCATCCCAAAGAATACTTGTGGGCTGGATTTATGTCAGTTTAGTTAGTAATGGGGCAGCCTCTGCATCACCCTGGGGATGGAGTTGGTGAGAGGTGTGAGGCTGCAGTGTGCTGACTTCCTCTGCTGCAGCGGCTGTTGGTGCTGCTGGCAGTGCTGTACTGTACCTGTAAACTCTGCCTTTTGCTTCCAAAAATGCTGTTGCTTCATCCCACCGTCTTGAAATACGGCTCAGCTATGTTTGAGGAATAGCCATCTGTGAACTCTCAGGAAGAAAGCAGTTAAATTCAGGCAGGGCTGTTGAAGGGTGAAACAAAACTGAGACCAAACCAACTTATTCTATATATAGAATATATATAGAAAATATAACAGTTCTAAATATAATAGTTGTTTTTTTTCCAGTGGCTCCCCATTGCTTACATGCTTTTTACTTTTGACTACAGCTGAAGTAGTTGAAGATTACTGTTGGGTTAATTCTTTTTAAATTAAGGCTTAAATATAAGGGCAAACTTGATCTGCTGTATTTTCACCTCCTGATAATATTGGTTTTCATAAACCATACATTGCAACTCGAAACATTTCTAATAAATATAAAGTTAGTGCTGAAGAGGTTATTGCTTGAGTCTTTTAGTTATACAGATGCATCTCAGGGACTTCATTGTAGAATCTCTTATTCCATGATAGCTGGATCTTGTATTCAGGCAAAAAAGAAAATAATAATCCTGTCTTCTTACTCTTGTTGTGTGTGTTTTAAGGGAGGGGAGGGTTGGAGGGTCGAGAGGGAAGTACATTCAAGATTTCCAAAAACATTGCAATAGAACTGGTTGCCTTGATAATTGAGGCAGCTTGGCAATTCCAACCCATGTAGAATTGGCTTTGCAGACCTGTTACTGGAATGTCTTAGTTGCCTATTTGAAAGCCAAACAGAAATTCAAGATGTTAGGATCCAAAGAGGCATTGGGAGAGGCTCAAGGTAGAGCTTCTTCACCAGTAAGCGTGGTCTGGGCGTGCAGGTACGCAGCAGTTTGTAAGCACGTAGGGAAGTGCAGGAGGATGTGCAGGGGAGTGCTCACAGACGAGGGAGGGGGCAGAGAGCAGAAATGTCTGGGCTCTCTGGAATGCTGCTGCTGGGCCAGACCTGCTGCTCGGAGCTCTGGAATGAGCAGTGCTCGGCAGTGTGGCAGCCAAGCGCAGCATTTCACCAGGCTGTTGGGACAGACATTGTCCTTGGGTGTGTTGCTGGCTGCTTCTGGTGATGATTTTTCCCCCACGTGCAGGTTAAATCTGAATTATGTACCATTGTGCACCTTGTAATTGCCCTGCAGTGTTCTGTGCCTTCTGGAGCACCTGAACCCTGGTAAGGGTTCCAGCCGAGTGTTACGCACAGCAGTCTGTTTCAGGGTTTTCCTTAGAGGATGACACAACTGTAATGAAGTTGCACAACTGTTCTGTCACTGTGCTTTTCCAGAAAACTCTTGGATGTTGCTAGAAATAAAATGAGAGGTGGCTGGAGAATGGGAACAGTGTGGGCAGGTTCTACAGGCAGAGTGGCTTGGGCCAGTGCTTACAGTGCCAAATCGTAGGTGATCAGCTTCTCGTTAGAAACTGCCTTGAATTTGGTGTTACCAAGGTGACCTGACAGTCGTCTTGCCATAGGAATGGTTTTTGTCTACGAGGAGACTGGTGCTGACTACGTGGTAAAAGGCTTTGTATTCTTTTAAGGAGCCAATTTTTCTTCCTCTTCATTTTAAAAACGCTTTGATACGTTTTTACTCTGTAATGACAGGGCACGTGTGATGCACTAAAATCAAAACTTTTGTATAAGTCAATGATATCAAAATGAAATTGATAACACTGCTGGAATAACTTGCTGAAACAGACTTTTGTATTTCTTGGTATACTGTGCAATATCAATTTTTCCTAATTAAAAATGCAATGTATACTTAATTGTTTTTTTTCTTTTCCAGGAAGTATTTAATTGGGATTGGGGAATTTTTAAGAGGACCAAATGCTCTTTCATGAAATGTCCTAAATTTTCAAAACTTGAGCTTAAATTTTACAAATCTGCATTAAAAAAATGGTGTATTTGACCACTTTTATGTGTGTTTTCTTATGGTATAGTTCTTATAAGGCCATCATGAAGCTTGCAGGTGATCTCCCAAACACAGGGAAAAGATTAATTTGAGTGTGTGTACCTGATCCATTGACCAGACAGGAAAACAGCAGTTGAGGGTGACCTGAGAGTAGGGGTGAGTAAAGGAAAACACACCTGAAGTCTGTGTTCAAGCTGGTTTGTGGCTCTTGTTCAAGTTCTTGGTGACTTGGCCCATCTGAAGAGCTCGAGACCTCTGACTGCAGTAAGGAAACTCCCCGACCAGTTCTCTGGCTCTGTTGTTGGTGTCCATGTCAGTCATCTTGTGTGTGGAGAAGGTAAGTCTGTGACTCTGTGCCCCAAAGAGGGTAGGCTGGGAATTCACTTCTTTTTTTTTTGTGAGCCAGCCTTAGGTGTGAACTGTCACTGAGCATTGTCTCTTACAGAAAACACCCTGTGACTCCACTTTCTTAGAGGCTGAGTGTGCTGCTGGGTGCTTTGAGGAGGAAGGAAAAGGCAGCCTCAGCCAGAACTTAGTCCTTTGTCTCCAAGGATAGCTTGGCTCTGTCTTTGCCCTGGACCTGGTTAGCTCAGGAACGCACAGTTGAGGTGTGCAACAAATAGCTTTTATTTTTCCTGGGGGAAATGAGACTTCTCAACCATATCCTTGCAAGAGCACACAAAATGAGTTAATGGTTTGGAGAAGGGATGACTCTCTGGTGAGGGCTTTCTTGCCAGCTTCATCTGCCTTGGTTACTAGACATTGAGATGTCTTATGCATGCTGGATTTTCATTAATTAGAACAAGGGATGGCTGCTTACTTTGGGAAAGTAAAAAAACCCATTCCACCTCTAAAAGGAAAAGCTTCTTCTCCTCCAATCCCTCTTTCATTTTCCCTGTGTAACGATTTGAGGGGCAGTCTGCACTGAAAGCAGTGATTTGGTGTGGAATGAGGAAACGAACTGTGGTGGCATCAAGCTGTTGGCCTCATGAGCAGGTAGCTGAGTCTGAGTAAGTACCGACCTTGCTGGTGTTCCCTAGTGCCACCCTCTCCAAGTTGGTCCATGAGGAACCTAGTGCAGGTGGGAATGGTGCACTGAGAACCTTGCTGGGCTCTTTCTACTCCACAGATAACTGCACCCTGGGAAATAGCTCATGCTGGGTTTAAAAATGGGAATGTGGAAACAAACTATCTGACCATCACTGAGATATTTTTTTCTTATTTTTTTCTCCTGGATCTGTTTTCTGCTTGATTGATGTAATATCTTCTGTTGTTTTCCAGTCCTGATTCAAAGGCTGCTGAAGCTGACAGGACACTTCCTGTTGTCTGTCTTACTCAAACTCCAACTTACAAGGAAATGTATTGAGCATCAATAACTGGATTTTTTGCAATTTTAAAGTTCCTCTGAATTTTTGGATGATGAGGTTTTTTCCCCCGTCTCATGCTAGTTTTACTGGATTCAGACTTCTAAGTCTCAATTCTGAAGTAAGCGTAAGTGAGCTGAAATCCTGATTTTTGGGGAAAGAACCTGAGCTCTCATGTTTTCACTGTGGTTGCACATTTACTAGTGGTGTCACTGCCCTGAGCTCCTCTTTGCTGGCTTTCCTTATCTGCTGTTGGACAGTGGGTTGGTCACTGTTACAGCTCTGAAGTGGGACTGAGTGTGTTGATTGTAGTTTTTTCTTGAGTTCACATTTAAGAAAATACCTCAGAAAACCCACTCTTCCCATTCTCGGTGTTCTGGCAGGTTTGGGTATGGTGAGATCATATGTGATAACACATCTGAAGTGCAAAAGTGTGCTTGAGAAATCATTTTTTTGGGGGTGTATGATGCATCAGGCCAACCTATTATTGTGGCTGCAAAGAAGTGACTTCTGGTAGCTGTGGACAAAGGTCCCTGGCTGGGGTTCCCGTGCACTTGGTGGCGATGCTGTAGATCCGATCTGCTTCCACCAGAGACCACTCTTGTGCCACTGTGAGAAGGTTCCTGTCTGTTCTCTAGCAGCAAGACAACAGTAAGATCTCGAAGGTGGAGTGTTGGAAGATGCAGTTTTATAGCTTTGTGGAGCACGGCTTCTCCTTTGCGGGGAGCTGGAAAGCCTTGAGGGACGGTGGATGTGAA